GAAGGGGCAGCCCGGGGCCTTGCACAAGTGAGTGACTCCACGGGCAGGTCGATAGTGCAGCAATACCCAAGCCGGACAGACCGACAGACAAGCTAGTTGGGGTTATGACTGTATCGCTCTGGCCGCACTGCTCCCTGCTGAGCAGACAGCTGCCACTCCTTTTATTTTGAAACCCACGCTGGTGGTACTAAGGCTCTGTGTTTAATTAGACAGGAGGCCAAGTGGAGAGACGCCTCCTTGACTAGCTGAGTCAGAGATGCAGAAGATACCGCGACCAAGAGCTCGCTTCATCAGAGGTTATGTTGTGGATTTAATTAGCGATGTTCATAAATGCCATCGTTAAACCATTTTATGCAAGCGCGCGCGCGCACACCACGCAATAGTGGTGTTTGTCAGAGAGAACTGTTAGTCCTGCCTTTGCTCGCTGACCTTTCACTGTTGACAGCGGTAAAAGCAGGATCGTTAAAGGGAAGGCATCTTAGTAAACTAACTAAACTGGGCTGGGCACGAGAGATCAACTCCTGCGGCTCCTGTTTTCATCTGAAATGGTGCAGGCGATCAGTACCTCGAGCACCTGGCAAAGGCAGAGGGTGCTCAGCACGAGGAGCAGCAAGCAGAGACTTGGATTAATGGCTTGAGTGAGCAGCGTCGAGTGGCACTCATCCGCAGAGAAACCGTACGTTTCCCATGCTGCGTGGTGATCTCCACAGAGTTAGCAGTCTTGCATCTCTTCCAAAGTAGCAAACCACGGGTCAAGCTCAATTCTGAGCCCCCCTGTAGCCGCAGTCTGCCCTTGGGAAAAGGCACGGACGCATGTTGCTGCGGACGGCACTTCCTTTTTCAGTTCTTGGGAAAGACGCGCGCCCTCCTCATCGTCCCAGGAGGGGGTGCGTAGGCACATTTAGCACATCCAACTTGCAGTTTCTGGCATGAACTCATGGAGATTTCAAACGCCTCCATCCCCACTTGCAGTGTCTGGAGAATAAACCCTATTCCCCGGCAGAATTCAGTAGGCCTTAAGTGATCCAACAACCTGCTAGCTGCAAGTAGGGAACATTTCTGGGTCTACTTCTGGGATCATTTGTTATTTAATGGCTGCTATTTTCTTTTGGTCAGCTCCTCCTGCTTTCTGGAGCCCAGGGTTTGAGTCTGGAAAGGGAGTCTGCACTGCTATTTTTCTGAAGGAGGGAAAATGACTTCAGTACTTCTGGACCAGCTGCTACAAGTCTGTATGTGCATCAAGGAAGCCAGCTGGCTCAGAAAATAATAGAAGGATTTCATACTTGTTATTTCTGAACAAATGGAATAGGAAACATTAGCTCATTAGCTAGCAGTGCTCAGATAGCAGCAGGGCGGCAGACGGGAGATACACCCAGCTGTAGTTAGAAATGGAAAAATCTCAAAAGAGCTACGATTTAGTCCTGGAAGGGAATACCAAATAGTTATTTTTCTGGCATGGACAAATTGCAAGGAAAATTAATCCAATACGGAAGCACTAAGCCCCTTTTGATGATCTCTAAACAGGAATGACTTCTAAAACCAAGGTGGCTGCTACCAAAAAGTCCTTCCTACTTACGCTACAGGCCAAAAATTTCCTTGTAGTCACACCAGCAGCCTCCACTGATTGTACATGCTGCTCCACGCACCCAGATTCTTTAAACAGTGGCAAAAGATGCGAGATTAGAAGTATTAGAATCGGAGGTTCCCCTATTATTCCACAGATCATATCGGCGCCAGTAACAACACAAGGGGGAATGGGATTTATGCTGCATTTAAAAATTGTATTTGCTGCTGGCAAATGAATATTTGCTTGATCACAAAGGTGGTGCCCAAAACTTTACTGAAGGCTAGCAGAAATCAGACAGTCAAACGCTCACTCCCCGTTATTCCCCATAAGCATGTCAAAAAAGCATTGAATATATAAGGTTACACTGAGCATACAGGAATTCTGGGCCATCCACAGGACTGAGGTTGGGCAATATAAGTCTCCATCTAAGGAGGGTCCAAAACTCATCTCACCTGGATGTTTACTTTCCTGCAATTCAATCCAGGTTCTCCTTGCTTGGCACGTTTTCCTAGATGAACAAATAATCTGAGTTTGACTCTGTTTACTTTTCCACACAAAAAACTTGCCGGACAACCTGAAATACCTAGCTCATAAGCATGGACTCATACTCTTGCTTCACTTCACTTCACTAGCAGGAGAGTCAGGAAAGCAGAAAACTCTAAACTACAGGAGTTCAGCTCGCTATAATCTAATCCCTCAACTACTGGCTACTCGTCCTCAGCCTACTGGGTGCACTAACACATACTATGAAATCAGTTCCCATCCTCCTATGGACACTGCAGTTATACAAACTGTATCCCAAGAAGTGTGTTATGACTTGGGTGCAAGTTTCAGGTATTTATCCTAATGTTTTAATCTCCCGCTTCAGCTTCTCGATCTCCAGATACAGTTTCTGGACTTCCAGCAGGGACTTCAGTTGCATCAGGGGCACACCGCACTGCAGAGCATGTCGGCTGTCAACTACCACGTCACACATGGCAGAACTGCCTTGCTTTCTCTAAAAAGAAAGGAAAAAGACGGTTGTGACTACGCTGCAGAAGACGAGGGCTTACCCTCTCAAGTGCATTTGCTTCTTTCTGCATCCAAATACGATTCTACACCAGTGGTGGCCTTAGGGTTGCTGGGGCCCTGGGCAAGAGACTCATCTGGGGCCCTTCGAGGCTTAAACCGTGATGACCTATGAGCAAGTTGGACATTTTCAAATTTCACTTTGCCCTCTCCATGAAACTGCAACGAAAGTACCTTAATACAATAGTGATAATGCAAATATTCAGTACAATTAATTTTTATTTTTATAAAGTGTGGGGCCCCAGGCAGCAGACCGGATTGCCCTGCCCTAGGGCCGCTACTGCTGTCTCGTACCATCTGTGGCTGACGTGGGGCCTCACATCCATGGAAGTCAGCAGTACTAAGCACCTCTGGGGAGGGTCTCAGCCACATTTAGGATCAGACATTTGGCCTGCAAGCTTTAGACAGAAAGCTTGCCTTCTCATGCATCTGTGCTGCACTGAGCGCATTGGAAAGGGTCGTAATATTGGCTTTGTACTGGGTTTCAAATAAATCAGAACACACCCATGCTCACACATCCTATGCTGCTGTGATGTTTTATCAACCAACTTTGATACTTTCGTATTTTGCTTGGAGCTGTCACTACAAAATGAAGAAAACCTCTCAAATCAAGAGGGGATCAGGGATTTCTTTGCTTTCAGATCAATGCACTTTTTCCCTTTCCATCTTACCCATGACACTTCTTCCTGCCTCATCACGCAGCTCATTTTTTGAACGAAGCAAACATAATTTAAGGACAGTTCAGACAGTTCTTCTGTCCCATGCTAGACCCTGGGCAGACCCCATCGAGAAATCCCACCACACGAGGCCACTTACACACGTGGGGAACGTTGTCCAGTTGCCATCCGCAGAACAGGTAATTTTCCAAGTCTCAGTTACAGGCAGGTACCAATGGCCTGAAAACTGGTATCCCGGAGAGCACTTGAAAGAGACGGTTTCATTCACTTTGTACCACGGTTTTTCACCCGTGGGGTTGACCATTCTTCCATTTTCCACTTTTGGCTTTGGACACTGGACTGAAAGAAAGAGGCATGACAGAAGGGAAATCAGGAAGAGAAGGGGGAGATAGCCCACGAATGGTGCTTGCTGCCTGTAGCACAAAGCCATCCCCCCTCCTCTCCTCCCACCTTACGCCTGATTTCACTTTGAGGAGAAATAAGCCCCACGTAACATCGCCAGATCCACAACAAGCCTCTCGCTCAAGAGAGAAGAGGGTCTACACTTCAGCGAGGAATACATGCTGATGTGAACTGGAGCTGCACCTGCACAGTACCCACCAGAAAGCAGCCCAGGAAGGGCTGGACGGAAATCCCATCTAGTCCTTTGTATATCAGGTATTTTGGGGCAGCATCATCAGGGTCTATTGTATGCTACAGTCCACGGTTCTCTATAAATACCTCAAACAGACACTTGGGATACCCTCTGCTGCCATACAAGGCAGGCAGGACCTGGGCCCAAACTCTCGTTTATACAATGGGCTTCGGCGTGAAGCTCCCTTCTCACTGCCAACGAGAGTTAGGCCTGAAATCTAGGAGATCTCTGGGAATCGGCTCCTTCCCTCCCTACAGGCACAGCAATCTCCCTGGGACCATGTGTATTGACCTTGGCTGGAGGAAAGGCCAGGTCAGCACCGGTGGGCTTCAAACCTATGCATCCAGGCATATGGTAAGCTTGCAACTCGGGTCACTGAGGGAGTCCAGCTGGAGAAGGGCTGATCCTTGTCAAAGCGACTCAAGGGCAGTCTGGAGGCTCCCTGCAGCTTGGGAAGTCACCCCTGCTCAAATCTCTGATCAGCATCCATACTAACCCGGCTGACAAGCTGGCTCAGGAGAACTCCATGTACTGTCTTCCTGGCACCAGCTTTCTCCATTGCCATCCATCATGTAGCCTTTGTTGCAAGAAAACTGCACGGTGGCTCCATACAGAAAAGCAGTTTTGTCACCGATTGTCCTTCCATTGTGAACCACTGGCATGGGGCAGCGAACAACTGAGGGTGGTCAACAGAGATGTCCATGTTAAGGTAACCCAGACTTAGGGGACACAAGAACAATCAAAGTTTATTAACTTTTTTTTTTTAATAGACCTTTTCATTTAAAGAAGGCATTTTATATCTATAGAAACTTGCAGACTGTTTCTTCCTGCATTGGATTCATTTTGGACTATACAGAAAGTGATATGGTCACTGGGCACGACTGAGAACACTGCTCCGTGCTCTTCTCCCCACTGCTAAGTCAAGTTGCCTGGGACATTCCCATGCTTTTTCCAGTTCTGCTATACTTGCAACTCTTTTTCCATGACCGGGGTTGCTGAAAAAGACTCTGCTTGGATTCTCCGTGTGAGCTTGAATACACAAGGGCTCTTTTTCCTCCTGCACATCACACCTCCCACATCAGTGAACGCATCCATGCAGTTCTGCCCAGGAATGCATTAGATCATTGCTTCCTACAAATGCGATAACCACCTGATCTTCCTGCACAGCACGGTCTCTAGTCACTACCTTTGTCTAATGTAGCATGATGCAGAAAGACTCACGTTTGCACCGTGGGGCAGGGCCACTCCAGGTCAGATTTACCCCGTTGTCTGATGTACAGTAGACGGAAGACTCTCCAATCAGGGATAAGCCCTCAGCACAGCTGTACGTGACTTTTGATCCATAAGGGTAACGCCCCTGGCCGGTGCCGGAGTGCTTGCCTTTGGTGATACTTGGAGGTGGGCCACAGACTACATGGGGACGAGAAAAGCAGAGATAAGGCTGGAGAGCCCTCTTGCCGACCCGGGTGAGAGTCAGGGCTGGCTCCAGGGAAACCAAGGAGGTTGCAGGAGAATCCAACACGCAGCACTTATGTTGTGGGAAGATTCGCTTCAAGTTCAGCTCTTTACAGAATCAGGCCCCCAGTCTGCAAATTGGCCCTTCACCTCCCAGGATCATTTGAGCAAGCACCTGGCCCTCCTGTCACTTATGAACCCTGTCCCCCAACCAGTGGCTTAGCCCCTGACCTGCTACCGAACCTCCCACAGCTCCTCCTCTTCCATACGAAGGGCCGTCTCCCCTGCCGCTCTCCACCCAAGCGCAACGAAGTGCAAAGATTGCGGCGAATTCTGCAGCGTGGTGGAAGCAGGACTAAGGGGAGGATATGAAGTAAAGGAAATACTGGACTGAAACTTGGGGGGGAGCGGTAAATTCTCCTGAAAACAACATCTAAAGGAATACAAGAATCATCCCCTGAAAAAGGGCTGCGCCCTGCAGCAACTCACACGTTCAGCCCTGAGCTAGAAAAAGCCCTGGAGATGAGACAAGAAGGGAAACCCCCCAGCTGACCTCCCTCTCCCACCCAGCGCACTCATTTTTACTTACCTTTATCACAGAAGGGCAGTGGAGGATGCCACTCCCCATCGCCCCCGCAGTGAACTGAGGAACTGCCTCTGAGGACGTAGCCGAAATGGCAGCTAAACTCGACATGGTTTCCAAACGTGTGCTCCTTCCTACTGACCGAGATCAGGGCTCCATTTTCAATAGCTGGGTTTGGACAGTACAGCTCTGAGAAACACCAGGAGACAAATATTTTACGATGGTGTTGGGGGAACGTCTGCAGTAGAGACGATTTCTATGACTGAGACTTTTTTTTTTTACAGGAGGATCTGAAACCTTGGACAGATCCTGGTATTTCCACAGGTCAACAGGTGCAGAGAAGGGCTGCTAGGATGCACAGAGGGATGGAAGAGGCCTCAAGAGGCGACTAAAAGAGCTTGGCGTTTAATCAAAATGAAACAGGGTGTGATGACTCTCTGGGGCTAGCAGCAACCCCACAAGATCATCGTGTCCCATTAAAATCTGTGGCGAGGAGAAGAGTTGCACAGTGAATTCAGTTTGTCACCTGGGTATCATCACATGGCCCTGTTATCACCATGTACCCAGTGCATATCAACTCCTGCACACAGTCTCATCATCAGACGTGCTGAGCACCCAGACTCCACTTCAAAGTCCAAGAGGTCTGCCGGTGCTCAGCACCTCTGGAAATCCAGCCCCAAAGCCTTAGAAGAAATAGCTCCCCAAACCACTGCCGAGATCACAGATCAGTCAAAACAAAGACAATTAAGTTTAAAACAAAAAAAAGAGGGGTTACTCACTCTCACAAAACTCCGGGACTTTGGACCACGTGAAATTGGTAAGACAAGTAATCCTGGGAATTACTCCAGGGATCAAGGCGTAACCAGGTCTGCAGGAGTAGGTGACTACAGACCCTACTGGGAAATCTTTTCGAGGAACCTGGTTAGTATTGTCAATGGCTGGGGGGTAGGAGCAGCTACCTGGCAATGGAGAAAAACGTAGGTATCGATTAAACCCACAGGTAACCGTGAAACATTTTGAGGAAGAAGCCTCTATTGCAGGAAGATGGCCACGGAGAGAGACGGCCATTAAAAAAAAAAAAATCAGTGGCTTAAAGTCTGCCCTCATCAAGACATGCCTAAATCTACTTACTACTCTGAGCACAAAATATGTGCAAGAAACAAATAGCAAGCAGCGACAAGCTGGGCCAGCAGTAAGCCTGGCAGCTGGCGTGAGGGGTGAGCCCACGCTTGAAATCAAGTGGCAAAACGTGACGTTGTTTGCAAATCACACAATGAGTTTAACCATAAGATTTGTCCCTTTATGAAGGGACACAGTCCAACAATGGTTTTATTATAAAATCCTAGTTTTACTGTACTTCTTGAAGGCTCCTTGCGCTCTGCGGGCATCAGAGCCTCACAAGACCTCTCATTTAAATCAGAGGCAAAACTAATAAATCAATAATAAAACTAATTGACGGAACCCAAACTCAGCACCCAACAGGATAACGTCAAAATTAATGTGTATGGGTCTCTTCTGAAGACAGATAACCGATATGGCCACATCCAAGCAGACAGAAACAGAAAAGAGCATCACTGCATTTAACTACTGATAAAATCAGTGACACAAATGCATTTCTAGTACAGAAGTAACAAAAGTGACCCCATCCTTTATACTTACCCAGGTTACAAACTGGTGGCCGAGGACCCCACTTAGTGTCAGCTTGGCACCAGATGATTTCGCTCCCCCTAATGACATACCCGGGATCACATTCAAACGAGATGTTGCTCTTATAGCTATAATTCTGGCTGAGTGGAGGTTTCAGTCTTCCATTCTGAATACTTGGGGCTGGACACTGAACCGCTGCAGGACACCAAGCCAGAAAGATTTTCCATGGGTTTTGGTTGCTGGGCACATCTAACAACAAATCAGCCTCCCCACCCACACCCGGGGGTCAGGCAAGAAGGAATAACATTACGTGGGGAATGGAGAAACGGTTGGCAGAGAGGTAGAGCTACTGGTCCAAGACCACAGGAAAAGATCAGGGCAGAACAAGTGTTAAAGTCTCCATTTCTCAGCCTTCTCCTAGCAGCATGTGTCCCCCTCATATCTTGTTACTGCTCAGAGTAAGAGCTGATGTGCCAGAGAACGGATCGCACCAGAGCTCAGCTGCACACAGAAGGGCATAGGAGAAGTCCACATACAACGATCCTGGCAGTGTCTTATATGCCACGGACCAAACAGCCTTTGTTCCCTCTTGTCCCTGCTCAGTTGGGACAAGAGGGTGTCTCCCAATTTTGGGGCTCAGACTGCTCCCACAAACATATCGATACCGCATGCTGCAAGGGATACTGTCAGGATGGGTAGACTGAGGACCAGGAACCAACAGGCAGGTCAAGTGCAGGTGGGAAGGAAATCTGTGGGATAAAAGGCTCCAGCATCAGCTGGGATGTGGATCTCATAGGAAGGCACGGGAGGAGAGATGAGCATGCATCGCAGGGGGGAGGTTGTGGGAGTGGTTTAGGGCTCATTAGGATCGCAAGTGGCACAGCAGACTGTGGGTGCCCTAGGAGGTTTTATTGCAGCTGACCATGCACCAGTCTCTTCCACCTTTCTGTGCCACGGGGGCTTGTAGAGCAAGGCAGAGCGAATCACCTGCACACTGCGGGAGGGGGCCACTCCATGCAGCGGTTTCATCATCACCAGTCTCACAACGAATGGAGGCCTCTCCCTGAAGCGTGTAACCTTTGAGACATCTGTATGTCACCGAGGATCCAGTAGAGAAATATCCCCTGCCTGGGTGGTTGTGATGCCCGTTTTCAACACGTGGGGGTGAGCCACAACCTGGAACACGACAGAGAAAAATACCACATTTACAAATGCTAAGCATGCTCCGAAAAGGGAACAAGGCAGTTTAGGGAACTTGGGGGTTCCTGATGGCACATTTGCAAAGCCCGTGGTCCTCCCAGAGCGTGTGCCCCTGTGCACTAGATCTGTGCAATCTGGCAGCCCTCAGGGTTCATCTCTGCAGGGCCTCTGCTGCACTGGGGAGAAAAGGATGAAAAGATCTCTGTACTCACCTGCTCCGTGGAGGTGAAGAATTGTTTCCTAGTGTTTGGCTTTGGTGACCTGAAATCACCCAGGGCTTCTCAGGATTTTAAAGCAGAGACCCTATTCTTTCTCTGTGTTTGGAAAGATCTGAGCACAGTGGAAGAGTTGTAGTGTGGGAAGCGGTCTGCCTGCTCCCGAAAGAGGAGATCTCCCAGTGACACAGCTCCCCCTTTTATACACACCTGGAACACAGTGCGGTACTCTGGGATCCCAAGAGCCATCGTGTCTGCAGCGAATCTGAGTAGAGCCATTGACGCCATACCCGGCATTGCATTCAATGGTAACAGCATCTTCGTATGCGTATTTCTCTTCTCCAGTTTTCGGCAGTGGCGTATACGTGCCATTTGCAATTTGTGGAGGCGGACACTGAACTCCTGGGAAGCAACGCCAAGGACAAGAGTGAGGAATAAGAGCCGGGGGCAGCAGGCTCACGCTCCCAGGGAGGTGGCATTTCCCTGGAAGGTCTGAGGTTCATTTTTTAAGTCAATTCTTTTTCCTGCCATGAATGGGGCAGGCCTGTCCTGTGGGTCAGGGACTCTCAGTGCCTCTTCTGTAGCAGGCAACTGGTCCAATGCTGCTGGCTGAGGACATTTGGTCATCACCGGTCAGCGATTGTGCACCACCCACCCTGCGAGTACCATGCTGTACCCAGGCTGAAAGGATGGGAGCAACAAATATCTCCTCCAATGGATAACCACAGTCCTGATTTTTCATGTTCAATTAAAGTAGCTAGAAAAAAGCAGAGACTGCCCAATCCTCCTTTCTTAGCTCACCAGCATCCAACTGCTGATTAGACGTATAGCCTCATAATAGCCAATAATTTTGCTTATTGTAGATGTATAGTCTCAAATAGCCAAAAAAAAAAAGATGATTAGGGAAAAGACTGACATACTTACTCTGACAAAAGTTTGGTACTTCAGACCATGTCAGATTTTGCAGACAAGTAACGCGCCCCTGGGTGATTCCGGAGATGAACTCGTAACCCCTGTTGCAGCCATACATCACCACAGTCCCAGGGGGAATCAGTTGGCCAACATAATTCTTTTGGAAAGCATGAGGGATGTTAGGTGGCTCCTTACAGCTCTCTAAGAGTTCAAAAACAATTAAAAAAAAAAAAAAAGGAAGAAAAAACAGCATGAGGACTCAGAGGCCTATACCTCCTCTGTGAGCATGTCCAAGAGACATAGCTGTAGAAAAATTACAGGGCTGTTGAAACCTGTGACAAAACTCCGGCTGAATGCACTGCAGACAGGATTTTGCCTTTTCATCTTTGTAGCTCCAATCCCTGCCTTCTCCTTAACTCAATGGTAAAATGGGCTTCAGTGCAAAACCATGGTGGCTTCAATCCTGGATCAGCTTCTCAGCTGTTATAAATACATGTAGCTCCTTTATTCTAGTTATACCAAGGCTGGAGAGCAGGGCTGACAGTGAGGGTGCTGCCTGGCAGGGCACTAGCCACTCCTCACACTGAGCACAGTGCCACGGGGAGGTACTAACATGAAATAAATCTGGAAGATAGATGGCATCTTGGTTGGCATTGGTTTAAAAAGGCAAAGCACCAACATCACAAAATTCAAGTTGTTGTTTCTAGACAGCATTACAAAAAAGTCAGCAATAGTGGTCCTACCTGTATGCTGCTCCAGGATGAATTCTACTTGCAATCATAAAAAGAAGGAACACACTAAAAATCAAGATTTCTGCTAAAGATCAGCTGCCAGGACAAGTGAAAGTTTTGCTTTCATTTTTAATAATTAAATCAGATAGAGCACATAAGGGTTTGTTTGCTCACTTGGTATCTTAGTACCCCCTTAAAGCAGGCAGATGATCATATAGTGCGTGACTGATTGAATTCGATTCATTTGAAGAACTAAGCACATTCAAAAAGAGGTCCTGGATGGACATCACGGGCAAGGATGTGCACAAAATCAGAGAAACATAGGGCAGCGCTTTTCATAGTTTCATAGTTTCTAGGGTCAGAAGGGACCTGAGCAGATCATCTAGTCCGACCCCCTGCCATGGCAAGAAGAGCACTGGGGTCAAATGACCCCAATAAGGTGGTCATCCAACCTCCTCTTAAAAACCCCCAGGGTGGGAGCCTGCACCACCTCCCTTGGAAGCTGGTTCCAGACTCTAGCCGCCCTGACCGTGAAGTAGCGCCTCCTGATGTCCAACTTAAACCTTCCCTCCACCAGCTTGTGACCATTGTTCCTGGTCACTCCTTGCGGCGCTCAGGGGAACAGGGACTCCCCCAGCGCCTGCTGATCCCCCCCAACCAGTTTATAACAGGCCACAAGATCCCCCCCAGCCTTCTCTTTTGAAGGCTGAACAGGTTCAGGTCCCGCAGCCTTTCCTCATAGGACCTACCCTGCTGTCCCTTGATCATACGAGTGGCCCTCCTCTGGACCCTTTCCATGTTGTCCACATCCCTCTTAAAGTGCGGCGCCCAGAACTGGACGCAGTGCTCCAGCTGCGGCCTGACCAGTGCCGCATAGAGGGGGAGCATCACCTCCTTGGACCTGCTCGAGATGCATCTGTGGATGCACGACAAGGTGCAGTTGGCCTTCCTAGCCGCCTCCCCACATTGCCGACTCATGTTCATCTTGGAGTCAATAATGACTCCCAGATCCTTTTCCACCTCCG